AGTTATAATAGTGACCGTAGCAAATAATAAACTAATGATTTATGATGATTTGTTATGAATTTAAATAATGATCCATGATTTGTATATAAAAATTGATCCATGATTTGGTTTGATTACAATATTTGAATGATAACATATTTTGAAATGATTTATGAATTGATATATTTGATATCAATTTATGATTTACGAAATGTTTTACATAATAATGATTTTTAAAATATTTTAATATTATGATTTGATGAATGTTTTGAACGATCTATATGATATATATGAAAACGATACTTAATCGAGTAAGGTGTGTGAACCTACACTTGCTAAGCTATGGTTTGCTTATTTCTTTTTTTTTTCTTTACAGATGAGTAACTGATATGTTTGCTTAGTTATGTATGAAGCTAGAAGATCAAATTGAAAAGATTTCTCGAACATTAGAGACATTATTGGCTAGTGAGATCTTACGAAGCAGTTTAGTATTTTTATTAGTTTATATTTGGGAATATGAAAATTTCTCATTAGTTGAATTAAAGTTAAGGATTTTTTTGAATAGATTATTTTATTGAAGAAATTTACAATGATTAAGAAAAAATGTTTCATATTACTTTGAGATTTTATTTTAATATAATATGATCGTATTATGTCTCGGTCTTAAGATATGATAGTTAATATTTAAATACCATCACTAAAAGTTTCAATATTTAAATACCATCACTAAAAGTTTCTTCTCCAAAAGCATTTTGTGCAAGAGGATGGATATCTTTGAAAAGGGGATGATTCTTTTGTATACAAAATGAATTTTTTTGAATGAAAAGAAAAAAGTGTGAAATATTTGTTTTTAAAATAAGATTAATGCTATAAATGACCCATAAACTATAGTGAAATGTTTAATATGGTACTTAAACTTTAAAAAATTTTATATGATACCTAAACTATAAATCTATTAATTAATATAGTAGTCACTCGTAATATATTAACTTCAAATGATAATACATGACAGATAAATAACCTTTTAAATGTCACATCAAGTAATAGATTCATAATTTAAGTATCACATTAAAAATTTGTATAATTTAGTACTAAGTTAAATATTTCATTATAATTTAGGGGACATTAATAACATTAACCCTTTAAAATATAATAAAATAAATATTCTTCAATCTATGAATAAAAAAATCATTTACAAAATCATTATTAACTCTATACAAATATTTCAAAATTATGCTTTGTACAAATATGTGACAATCCATTATCCATTACAATCACGTTATTTCAAGGTTTGATAGAAAATAATTCCTACAAGCACTATTCAAACACTAATAATTGCCATTAATTTGAAGTATGCTACACACATCTAGACATAAAATAACATGTAATCATTAGCTACAGACATTTGGAATAGAAGCAATGTTGCGTACACACATCTAGACATAAACATAGCATGTAATCATTAGCTACAGACATTTGGAATAGAAGCAATGTTATGTAATCATGAGCTATACACCTTTGGAATAGAAGCAATGTTGTTTACAAACATCAGAGATAAACAGAGCATGTAATCATGAGCTACAAACCTTTAGAATAGAAGCAATGTTGCGTAGCTCCTCAGTTTTTTCCACCTTTATTTCGGAGAGAATCTCATAAATAATAGATCCTATCAAATTAAATAAAAATGCTCAGATTGTATAGAGAATCACATAAAAGAAAAGAAGAAACAAAAAAATTCAGATTAAGTAACTGAAAATGGACCAAACTAATGATTATTATCTTAGTTTTCATTGGTCCACTTCAGATACATGCATATGTAAATACACTTTTCTGAATGTAATTGTAATGTACAGTTGCTATTAGTAGATCATGAATAACAAAGTATGAAAGGCTTGTAACTATATATTAGTTAGTTCATGAATAATGAGGTCTCGCATAATATCTCAACATTAATATAGATAATACAATATAGTGACTTGAGCATGAAAAGAAAGATACAACAACATTATTGTAATATCGGATGAGGACATGAGTTTTCAATTCAAAAGTTCAGGTTGCAATTTAAGAATGAAAATAAATTAATTCCATTGTTTAGCTTTGGTACATTAAACCCGTCACTAATTTTTTGTCGCTGAAAATCTGTTTTATTGTAATGATATAAATTATGGAAACCAATGTCTTCAACAACCAATAGGGCCCTGTTGTAACCCATAGGTAGGTTATGAATCCATTCCCAGATATGAGAGTTGCGAAATAGCAATATGTAATGTGGGATCTAAACAAAACTTTATAGCATGATACTATTGAAAGGTGTCGAGTAAAGTTCATGGCATATAAACATCTCTTTTTCTTTTTTTCTAAGTCAATGAAGCTTTTATTAATCATTTAGAAAATCACACAACAGTTAATATACATCTTATCTAATTACACCAGATAAATCCCAGACATGGTAACTCAAATACCCCAAGTGCACCAATCTGTTACCATCATGCGCTAAACAATTCCAAGCGATTCACTCCCTCTTTGGCCAACGTGTCGGCCATCCCATTAACTACCCTCAATTCATTGGTCATAGGTACTTCTTTCGACTCCTCACTGTATGAATCAATTGATGAAAAATGTCCCACATCCTCCGTGGTTTGCGCTTCTCCTATTGGCGCAAGCAAAGGCAACCTTTGAATCTGATTTAATGATTAAACCAGCTTGACCCTTCCAATCAGTTATCATAGACAACTCGATAGCAGTTTCAATAGCCCTCAATTCTGTCTCATTGGAGTCTTGAATTCTTGCAGGCCCTGAAAACATAGCCAGTAAGTAACCTTTTTCATTCCTTAACACACCCCAAAATCCAGCAAGCCTTGGTTTTCCCCTTGCCGATACATCTCATATGGTCGTTCGTTGATAGTAAGTTAAGACAGCACTCAAAGATCGACTTCTACAACCCTCTCTGACATAGATCTTCAAATGAGACACTCCACTATTTGTTCTTCCATTTAGCACAGAAACTTCCATTTCAACTTTAATATTCAACCACATTAAACTTAACAAACTCCAACCGGACCAGGAAACAGAGGCGTAGCATAACTTACATCAACAATGATCAACATGATGAATACCAGGAAAACAAATCAAAATGATCAAAACTCCTAAGTAAATCAAGAACTAGAAAAAAAAAATCATTGAGCAGCACCAGAAAATGTTCCTCAATCCTTTAAAGAAACCAAAATTTACCACCAAGACATGAGAAAAATCTTTCTAATACGCTCCCGCCTTAGCCAATGCACCAGGCATACCATTCGAATCCTTGAAAACAATAGACAAGTTGACTGACCGGATTCAATATAGCAAGCTTATCAATTTCAAACCAACTCAGCCTTAATTACTAAGGTATCGAATCAATAATTTCTATAAAAAATAGCACCACATCAAATGACTTATGAGCATAGCAATGTCATAAAATACAATCCTTCCGACAATAAAAACAACCACCATCAGACCAGATTAAAAAGCCAATGATCTACTCCTTATTACCCCTTCTCACATAATTCCTTAAAGAGTATGCTAGCCAAACTGCTAGACCCAAAAATCAATCCAAAAAATTTCTTCTAGTGCCACTAATCCTAACAGCACACTTAAGGATTACAAAGAAATAAATCGATTGGTGAAATCAGAAACCAAAATATTAATAAACACACCTCAAGTCCCTATCTTCCATCTCTTGCAATTTTTTATAATCAAATGCTCTTCACAGTTTGCTAATAGTCCTAGCAGTTTGCCCAAATTCCATGTTTCTTGAGCTTACTTCAATATAATGTTATTTCTATTATGAAAATCCCCATTAGGTAAGGATTCATTCACAATCTTCTGTTCAAGTTTCTTCACACCTTTCCTTTTCAGATTCTGACTTAGTTTCCTCCCACGTTTCTTATCTTTAAGGATTCATTCACAATCTTCTGTCCAAGTTTCTTCACACCTTTCCTTTTCAGATTCTTACTTAGTTTCCTCCCACGTTTCTTATCTTTATTGTTCAACTTGTTAACTAGTTCTTCTTCGATATCTTCTAGAAATTTTATTTTTAGTCCCTTTGTGTCAGGCAAGAATTTTTGAGGACATTGATAGAAGCAAGTTAACTGTTGTGATATCTCTTTCCCACTTGCATTATCAGACAAGGTTGGGCCTCCTTACTTTTATTCAACTCATCACTTACTACCCAAGGACGATCCAAATTACCCATACCTTGGGCTTCGACAATCTCACGGCCTAAGGAAGGTAAGCCTACTTCAGTTTCCTCGTTAAAATCAGCTCTATTTTCTGTTTGCTAAATACTTTACTTCTATCAATGTCCAGGTTGTCACCAGAGATCTCAAGCCTATCAACACCAGCTATGTACGAGTTTTAGGATGACTCAACTTTTTTTATTGGAGAAACATCGATATCCACAAAACCCATATTTGTAAACTTTGATTCACCCACCATCTCTCCTCTTTTACTGCATTGATTAACATCATACAAACTAGAGCATTTGTCTCCTTTGCTTCTTGGGAATCAACAACCATTTCTGCAACTTTTTCCTTAGATAGCCCATCATCTTCAAGAGGATTATCGCACTTCACCGACTCTTCATCTTTATTGAAGCTAGAACTGGATGAATCTTTGGTTTTCTTTGCTTCTTCACACTTTTGTGCTGTAACATAGCTATGAAACTTGGAAACTATTTCAAAGTCAATCTCACTAACTCGCTCTGTGTACACCTTGTCACCAACTATTAAATCAATAAATTCTCCGATTTTATGTAATGAATCAATACATATGAGCATAACCCCTCGAAGGATAGAGTGAAACCTTAATGTTTGAGAATCCATGGACACACATTCACCTCATAATTTGGCTATATACTCAAACGTGTTCAGGTTCCAAGCATGCAATGGGACTCCATAAACAGTCACCCAAGTTTGTCTTTTTATTAGCTTGGAATCTGAAGACCAGATTTCTACATGCTCGAACCAATTTTTTAGAGATGTCTATTCGTCATTCTTCATTCCTTCAAACATTTCAGTATTATCAAAATTGATCAGGAACTGTTTCACTGAAAGTTTCCTAACGTTTAAACCAAAAACTCCCTCCATTTTGAACTGCTCACTAATTACATTACTCTTGGTAAAACATTTTGAGACACCCACAACTGTTCTAGAGAGCCAATGCAATGTTTCATTGTTTATTTCCCCCATATACGATTCCTCCTCGTAGTGGAAAAGTTTCTCACACTCTAATAGTTGCAATCACCTCCTGTCCACTCTGTAGTTCTGACATCAATTTCAGGAACATCCCTTTTACTCTAATTCACTGTTGTGCTCAAAACTTTTCTTTCACCTGGATTGTTGCTATTAGTTTCCGTCCTCTCTGTTACTCTCGTACCGACTTCAGCTTTTGCTTCAGGAACTTTTCGTTTCCTCCAAAAAGAGTTTCTTTGGGCGAATCTTGCAATATTAGCATCGATTTTATGATCCACTAGCCAGACTCCATTGAGACATAAAACTGCTTTCTTTGCCTCTTCAAAACTTGTGAATCTTACGAATCCGAACCTCTTTCCCGTTTTACTTCTATTGCGAGGGATGAAGACATCAACAATATACCCAAATCTTTGAAATATGGTAGTAAGCCATATCCAGTGAATATTGTCAGGAAGGTTGTTAACAAACATAGTGACTATTTCTTTCCCCACAGTCTTTGCTCTCATTTCCCTGCACAGTGACTACACGGTGTTGAGCAATATAGATCTCAATGTCGCTTTGGACAATTCTTAAAGCATGGAAAAGACAGTTTTGTTTATGGGCTTCCTTAGCAACCTATACGTTCAATATGAGAGCCAACATAAGCAGCTCTTCTAACCCAAATGCAGAATAAATTAAATTTAAGAAAAAGTATGGTTGTGAGCCTGTGACTGTAATCACTAATCAGTGTGGAATTTAAAGGGGCATTTCCAAAATTCTTGATAAATGGAGAGGCTTCAAGCATCCGGTATGTTTGAAGAGGATGGTAACCATTATCAACGCTAACCATATCAGAAAAAAGTAGAGGTTTCCAGATTTCCTGCCCGTATTTAGTTCGTGTTTTCTTATCCCCATGCTCTCAAACTTTGAATTGAACCGTAAGTAAGAATGCGCAAGTTCAGTTTTTGTATAAGAAGATTTTCTTTTTATATAATAATATTATTGTTTTATTCAAATTTGGAATTCTTTTCACTATTTTTTATTGAATTGGTTTATAGTAGGTTTATCTTAGTATTCTAAGATGAAATTTCTAACTCAATTTCTTTAAGTAATCAAGATTCAATTCCTAATAACTTCTAAGTATAAAAAAATTTATTAATGATTGACAATTAAGTTATCCTTGATTTACCATTATATTATTAGTGATTTACTACTAATCTATCATTGATATACTATTACATTATCAATTATTTACTATTAAATTAGTATTGATTTACTATTAATTTATTAATAATTACTATTAAATTATGACTAATTTATTACTAAATTGTTAATGATTTATTATTAAGTTACTAATGATTTGTTAAAGATTATAACTAATTTACTATGAATGTATCAATAAAAATTTACTATTAAATTATTACTAATTTACAATTAAGTTATTAGTGATTTATTACTAAGTTATCAATAATTTACATCTAAATTGTCAATGATTTACTATTATATTATTATGCCTTTTTACTACTATGTTATCATTGATTTACTACTTAATTTTTTTATTATTTACTACAAAATCATCATAGATTTATTACTAAATTAACCAAGATTTATAATCAATTTATCACTCATTTAAATTAAATTATTCATGATTTATTATTAAGTTATCATTGATTAACTATTACTAAGTTATATTGATTTATTTTTAGGTTTCCAATGATTAATTATTAAATTATCATTGATTTATTGTAGACACCTAATTTGGTCTAGGCTCGAAATTTGGTCCAGATCCGGATCAATTAGGCCTGGCCCAAATGGGTAAGATAGACCCATATTTTTTTATTTTATTTTTATTTATTATTATTATTAGCATTATTATTATTTTTTTGTTTATTATTTATTATTATTATTATTTTTTATTATTATTATCATTATTTATTTTATTATTATTATTTTTTTATCTTTTCTTTTCTTGATTAATTAGGAGATAATAATTAAAATGAAAATAGATTTTTGCCATAAATAAAGGCAACAGGGAATCATGGTTGGATTAAACCATGTGTTGGATAAATTCAACAAGTAAAAATCTAATCAGAAAGGGAATCTGGATTGGTTAGGGACTCTAAGATTGAATCCCTATTAATACATACAGATCAGAAACACAGAGGGGAGGACACAAAAACAGAGACGAATCAGAAAGCTAAAAAATAGAAGGAAGAGTCTAGAAATATTCTTTGAGTGCTTAGAAGTAATTTATAAATTTTAGGAATTTTTGGAGAATTTTTTATGTTTTTTCTTTTGGAAAATTTTTGAAAATTTTTCAGAATCCGACGAAATTTTTTAATGATATTTAAGTTTTCTAGGGAGTATTTTGACCAACTTTGAAGTTTTCGACGGGTTTTTCAGATTTCGACAGAACTTCAACTAGAATCTGGGTTCTGTTTAAAGAGAAAGGGGAGAAAAAGGAAGAGAAAATGAGAAAGGAAGGAAGTAATCTGTTGAAAGGCTGAGTTTGGAGCTTTTTATATCTTGCTAAAATGATGTCGTTTTGGCATTAAAAATCTCAAAGAATCCGCGCGTTTTTGTTTGGTTCAACCCAACCCGGTCGTAACCTGATTCGTTGACCCGCGTTCCAGCCAACCGTCCGAGCCGAGCCGATTGCCCCAAGTTGCATTTTGAGTCGTGATTTCTGTCTTGAGCCGAGCCGTTTTAGATTTTTTGGGTATTTTCTTATTTATTTTATTTAAGCATTTTATTTATTTATTTTTATTATTATTATTAAATTAAAATGATAAAAAAATAAAAAATAAATAAAAATTTAGGAATAAATATTAATTATCCAATGATGAAATTTATAGAAATTTCAATGGTAAATTTTTATAAAATTTCTATGTGAGAAATTTTGTCTAAATTTGTCCCAAATTATGGAATAATTTAGATAAAATTTTAATAACAATAATTAATATTTATTTTCAAACAAAAAAAACTTAAAAACATAAAAAGCATAAAAATATAAAAATTTTTGGAATTAAATATAAATTACCCAAGGATGAGATTCTTAGAAATTTCAAATGGTAAATTCCTAAGAAATCTCTAGGTGAGAAATTTCTTCTAAATTTGACTCAAATGGTGGAATGATTTAGATGAAATTTCAATACAAGTAATTGTATTTTTTTTCTCTAATAAAAATTTGGATTGAAAATATTTGATAATTATCTAATGATGAGATTCTTAAAAATTTCAAATGGTAAATTTCTAAGAAATTTTTAGGCGAGAAATCTTCTCTAAATTTGGCCCAGATTGTGGAATAATTTAGATGAAAATTTTCAATAAAAGTAATTGTCGTATTATTTTCTTTCCAAAGAAAAAATAAAAAGAATTTCTAAATAGGCCCAATGGTGAAAAATTTTAGAAATTCAAAAAGAAAAAATATTTTCTAATTTCGCCCAAATGATGAAATAATTAGATATATTTTCGACTAATAATAATTAAACCTTTTTCCAATGATGGAGCCTCTTCAAAGAAATAAATTGAATTTTTGAATACTCTTGAGGTGAGGATATATTTTTTAAAGAGTTCTACCAGATTGATGGAGAATCTTAAAAATAGTTTTCAATATTTAACTTAAAATTTGAAACCATTAGACTCAATATATTAGGATAAATTCGAAATAATATGGTACCATCCTCCGGATGGACATGTGGGAGTGCTATAACCTTTCTTATATGTAATCGACTCCCGAACCTTATTCTGGTTAGTAGACTCGAACCTATTCTTTTAGGGACCCTTAAGCTTAGGTGTTCCTTAAAATGATAGATTCCTTAGGTGACCAATCACACCTAATAAAAAATATTGGTGGCGACTCCATTCATTTGATAAATCTAGCTATAGATTTTCGAATCTATATGTTATGAAATTTATTATTAAATTATTTATGATTTACTACTAAGTTTATCAATTAATTACTATTACACTGAAATTGATTTACTATTAAATTATTACTAATTTACTATTAAGTTATCATTAATTTATTATTAAGTTATCAATTATTAACTATTAAGTTATCACTTATTTTTAATAACCTATCATTGATTTACTAATATGTTGTTATACATTTACAACTTTGAATTTTTTCACTAATAATATTATTATTTTATTCAAATTTACAATTTGTTCACTAATTTTTTATTAAATAGGTTCATGGTAAGTTTATCCTTACCCCAAAATGAAAGTTTAGTTCGTTTCTACTAGTAATCAAGATTTAATTCTTGAAAACTTCAAATATAAAAAAGTTATCAATGATTAATAATTAAATTATTAGTTATTTACTACACAACTATCAATGATTTACTATTAAATTATCAATTATTGACTACTAATTTATGAATGAATTGTTACTAAGTTATGAATGATTTACTATTAAATTATTGGTGATTTACCATTAAGTTATTGATAATTTGTTATAAAGTTATAATTGATTTACTACTAATTTAGCAATAATTTATTAAAAAATATCAATAATTAACTAATTTATTAATAAATTATCACTGATTTACAACTAAGTTATAAGTAATTTACTATTATGTTATTACTTATTTACTACTAAGTTATCAATTTACTACTAAATTATCATTGATGTATTATTATATTTTTATATATTTACGATTATGTAATTATTGATTTACTACTTAATTTTCAATTACTTATTATAAAACTACCATCGATTTACCACTTAATTATCCATAATTCACTACCAAATTATTACTAATTTATATTAAATTATGTATCATTTACTATTAAGTTATCACTATTATCGATTATTACCTACTAAGTTTTCAATTATTTACAACTAATTTGTAACTGATTTACTACTAAATTATTTATTATTTACTACTTTCAATCAATTATTAAACTGAAATTAATTTACTATTAAATTATCATTAATTTACTATTAAGTTATCATTGATTTATTATTAAGTTATTAATAATTAATTGTTAAGTTATCACTTATTTTTTGTTAAGTTATCCATGATTTAGTATAATATTACTATACATTTACAGCTATATTATAATTGATTTACCATTAAGGTATTATGCATTTATTATTATATTATTTCTGAATTACTAAAAAATTATCAATTATTTACTACAAATTATTACTTATTTACTATTAAGTTATCACTAATTTTCTACTAAGTTATTGATGATTACTATTAAGTTATACTGACTACATTTAAGTTTTCAATAATTGATTGCTAAGTTATTAATTATCTACTAATATATCATCATTGATATGTATATATCCACAAAGAAAAACAACTACAAAGTATGCTAGATGATATAAAGAAAGAAAAAAAATTTTATGTGTAAATGACTTGAAAAGTATGAGTAAATGCTCTTAATTTACTACTAGTAATTTAACATGTAGTAATAAGTTAAAATCACATCTTTTTTTACTAATGCAAGTATTAAAACTAAATTAAATAAAGATATACAATATGTATTAAGTCAACATTTCTAAAATATTTTT